GAGCAGCATTTTTCAACTTCAGCAACTTTAAGAAGTGGGGACTTCAACTCCCAGAATGCATGCTGGCTGGGGAATTCTGAGAGTTGAAGTCCACACATCTTAAAGTTGCTGAGGTTGAGAAACACTACACTAGAGGAAAGGCTCTACTTGCCAGGACCCAGCTGAAGCCAGGGTTTGTGCCACAGTGAGAACTATGTCTAACTATGGCTCCTGATGACAGATCTTGTGTTTCTGCTTCTCCTTTCTAGGGTACCTTGGTCAGAAAATCAGCAACTCAAAGGAGCAGCTGACTCTGCACAGCCTCTTGTCCTCCTTTTCTCTCTGAGTGACAGCATAGAGTCAGTGCAGTGGGAAGAGCGAGCAAATGGTGGCAGAGAAGGGAGCTCACTGAAAGCATTTTTCCCCAAGCCTTCCAAAGAAAGACCTGGGTCCAGAAACCAATATACTCTATTGTATTAAAACATGAATTGGAATTAAGGAGAAGGTGAATAAAAATATGTAGGGGAGAGGAGAAAAGCATAGGTTTGATTTAAATTCAGAAACATGACATCTCATTGTTACTTGCCTCTCAGTTGCAGAGCAACGCATCACAAGATTATCTCTTAATAAATAACATTGTTTTGCTCTGATGCCTCATTTGATTCTACTTGGGAACATATCTGTTTACCCTGTAGTTGATAGCCAGAGATCAAGAAAATCCCTGGTGTGCTCCAAGATCCTTTTCTTTTTGCATCCCAAATCTTCTTCTCTAAGTGTGCTGCACCACCTACTGGACAGACTAAATAGTTTGACCAGAAGAAATAGGAAATGGCAAAGGTAGGTCACAAAAATGCATTCAGGTGTTTGAGTTTCCATAATTCTTTATCAGGCAAAGTAGTCAATAAAGAGAGAAAAATAGGGGTGCCCCTAATCACTGTTTCAAGAACACAGATGAAAAAGGTTGCTCCTCCATTTCTAAAATAGTAAAATCCAACTATTAAATTAGATGTTTCCATCCTAGCATGTAAATATACAGGTTCCTTGAAAGTTGGAAGAGCAGAAGTACAAATTAATTAGAGTTTTATACTAATAAATGTGAAATTAAAAAAAAACAGACTTTTACCTAGTAGCTGGGGTCATTAGCAAAGATGAGCTTCAGGTAGTATAAAATCCTCAGCTTTAGCTGACATGAGTATTCTTCAAATCATATAAAAAAGCAAAGATAAGCATGTTTGCTAGGAGGAAAAAAAACCTCATGCTCCTTAATAGAAAAATAGATGCACTCACAACAGCCAAGATAACAAAAGAGCATGCAAGTAGAAGAGCTCTGCAGAAATATTCCTGATAAATAGGGTTGAAGTCTACAAATTACCCAGAAGTCTTCACCAAAGAAAGCAAATGGCTGATGTTTAAGCCACAAGTCAGTTTTTAGGCCCTAAATGGCTGTTGTGGGAGGATCTACTCATCCCTCACAGACTCACACAGAATTCCTCTATTGTTCTCAGTGCCCTCCTCCCCACCAGTTTCTTCCACCCTAACCAGCACTGTCCTCCCCTCACATACAATCAATGGTTTTTTCCCAACTCCACAATGTCTTAGCTTTTTCTTTTTGCTGCTTTATTAGGGGAAGTCTGGTTGCCTAATACATATTTTTTCCCTTTTTGTATGTAAGCAGGTAACTGAGAGCAATGGTTTTAAACCATTTATTGGATCTCAGGTGGTACTGGTAGCATTAAACCAGTGTTGTCCAAACTTGGCCACTATAAGATGAGTGGACTTCAACTCCCAGAATGCATGCTGGCTGGGGAATTCTGGGAGTTGAAGTCCACTCATCTTAAAGTGGCCAAGTTTGGACAACACTGCATTAAACAAAATGTAAGTGATGAACTCTTGCATTTCTGGGAGAATAACCACCTCAGAAATGTTTTGTTGCTGAGTTATTTTTCAAATTTAAAATAATGAAAGGGAGTCACATCTCAGGAACTTTCCAGAAACATACCCATCTTAACTGGGACTGTATTATAAATCCCAACAGAACAGTTGTAGAAATGTAACTTTTCAGAAATTCAGTTTCAAAATTGAGGGGAAAGGTATATAGGAAACATCTACAGATAACACAAGCGTCTGCATCACAGGATGATGTCTGTATGTTCTTATAAAGATTGGGCTGTAAATATCATATTGCTGCCTCTTTTGTTTCCTGGTCAGACTTATGTTTTGCAACTTCACTGTAGCTCGTCCGTTATTCTCTGCCACAAGCACAATGCAGTTAAACCCAACAATAATGTTCAAGGCAGGATAAGTTATGGATCAAGTGATAAAGTTTTCATTAAGGTACCATGCTCCTCCTTTCAAAGACTCTTCCTCCATGACCTTTTTTGCTGATCCAAACATTGTCCTTGTGCAGATGCCGACTGTTTCGACTACCTGTTGTTTATAGCTACTTGCCTTGCATCTTGATGACCATATAATTCTATCCTTGCAGCTGAGACCTGAAAGATGTATTGCTTTCTCTTTCATGACTTATTCCATTTACTTCCATGAATTATTGCACGCTGTCACAAACACAGCAGGAAAACATAATAATGACAGGTCTGTGGCTGAGTAGCTGCCTAACCTTATTGCTTCTTGTTTTTAAAATTAGGAAGGAAGTTTTCCATCCTACTGTTCTGTACTTGGCTATCCTGCTGCTTTTTGCTTCTTGGAATGACCCTCAAAGGCTGCTGTCTTCAGATTCAACAGCTGTTATCACAGCCATGCCAAATATTGGACAGAATGCATTCAAGAGTTGGAACTAAAGATCCACTGTTGTTGAGATGCTGCTATAATGCACCAGCAGGTGGCACTACTGATATTGCAATCCAAATAGTATTCAATACTGTAGAAGAGTTGACATTTCCATGCTGGGCACACAGAAGAAAAGACAACACTTACACAAGTCCTGGTTTCTCTTGAGATAATGCCAACTTAGAGAGTAGCACTAGGCCTCCAAGTTTGGAAAATGTGCATTAGAACAAATAAAGGATACAATACAAATAGCTTTTGCCACCAGCTACTGAAACCAAAATAATTGGCTCACAAACAATTCATGCACTTACCAGGGCCAATTCTTTCTTTCTAAGTTCTTATTTACAATTTAACTGGCTACGAACTGACACTGTGTTGATTACCAACACAAGTAATCCAATGCAACTCCATTAACTGCTACTGCAGACTTTTATTTGCTTTTTTCAACAGCAGTCTGCCCCCATTCCAGATGGGATGGACTTCAACCCTCATAATCCCTTAGCTTCATGCACACTCACACTTTTCCTGCACTTGGTCACTGTACACTGATGACAAGCAGCTGAATATACCAGTAGGCCAAATTGAAAATGAATGCTTTTGAAAAGAAAGATTTTGTCTGTGATGGCCCATGTACATGTGAATTGCTTCAGATCATACTCCAGTTTGAGTGATGTGTTCAAATAAACACTAATGATACAATCCTAAGCATGTTTCCATATGTATATTATTTAATGACCTTAGCATGAATCCGTTGCCTGCATGCCTGAATAGGTTTTCATTTTTAGCATCAACAGGTGAGTTTAAAATTTTTCATGGATATCTTTTGAGGTACAGAAATATGGCCAAATTATGATAACTAATAAAAGAGAAGACTTGCTTTCCAAGTGATACAATTTATATGACTTTCCCTACCGCAAATTCATTTTCTCTGTCACCAGTGCAATAAATGATATTTACTATTGCACAAGTGGAAAGTAAGCTAATCTCTTGCAGCTCTCCAGGGACAGAGAGATTGTTGCCAAATGCTGTTGTGAAAAATAGGAATTGCCAAAAGCATCTGAAAGCACACTGTGAGCTCAATAGATGTGGGTTTGCTCAGTGCCTGAATGAGAGACCAATGTGCTACCCAAAATATGCAACTACAGTGGAACCTTGGGTTACGAACACCTCTGTTAACGAACTTTTCGGGTTACGACCAGCTCCGGCCGCAAA